TTTCCCCAGATTTTATCCCTTTTCCCAGTGGACCACCCCCCATCATCGCCCCCGCCGCCCCGATCCAAGATGGCGCCGCCGGGGGCGCTGAGGGGGCCGGGGGTGGTTGACCTGCAGTGCCCGCGCTGGGCCACGGGGGGCGCCAGCGAGCACTGGGCACCACTGCGCATGCGACTTGTAAGCTCAGCGACGAGACTACAACTCCCGACATGCATCGCGAGTCCCAACGGACCGCTGCAACCAAGCGCTGAAGACTACAACTCCCGACATGCTTCGGGAGAGAAAGAAGGGCACGTGACCGCGGATTCTCCACCTTTTTGACCCTGCGGGGACACCGTCCCGGCTGGTGAACCCGGAAGTGCTGCGGAGCCCCTCGTGGGTCGTACATGGCGGGGCCGCTCGGCAACCTTGGGGTACCCCCGGCCCCGACACCGCCCCGGGCACCTTCGGGCCCGCCCGTCGATCGGTCCTGACACCGTACTCGGGTCCCCCGCCCTCTCGGTGAGCCCCCAGCGCCTCCGCCACGCGGTCCCCTTCACCTTCCCCGTCGGTGCAGCCGCAGCCTGGCGCCGTTTGGCTGCTGCTCTCCTGCCTTGGCTCGAACCGTCCCCGCCGCGGCCGCCCGAGGCCTCCATCCTCAGCCACCCCTGCACCAGGAGCGGCCCCAGCGGTCATCCCCAGTCTCCCTGCCTGCACCTGAGGCTCCCCACAGCTCGCACCGGGGGCTCTTCCCTGCCCACACCGGCATCTGCTCCGGGCCCGCTCACAGCTGGAGCCCCGCAGGGACACGGGCCCGACCCCTCCGTGTGTCACCTCCCTGTCCCGGTGCGGAGGGAGGGCAGAGGAGCCCACGAGTCCCGGGCTCCTGGGGCGAACCCGAGGGAAAAGAGCTGACGGTGAAACAGCAAAACCCGCACAGAAAACTGGGGGAAGGAGGAATCCAAGTGGAGAACTTTGGGGTGCTGCGGGATAAACACAGGAGGGCTCTGCTCCCAGGGAACAAGAGGAAACGGCCGCAAGTGGCACCAGGGGAGGTTCAGGTTGGATACTGGGAAAATTTCTCCATGGAAAGGGTTGTCCAGCCATGACACAGCTGCCCAGGGCAGTGGTGGAATCACCATTTCTGGAGGGATTTCAAAGCTGTGTGGATGTGGCACCTGGGGACATGGGTTAGTGGTGGCCTTCGCAGTGAGTGCTGGGGGAATGGTTAGACTTGATCCCAGAGGGCTTTTCCAACCTAAATTATTCTCTGTATTTTGTGAATCCAGCAGTCTCTCTGCAATATGATTTTCCTGTCTCCAGTTTCCAGACAGTGTTTCCAGCACAAGGACAAACACTCCCAAAGGTTGGTTTTCCCTTCTGACTTCTGCCCAATAGGCACCTCTCTTTCATTATCCTGCATTTTAAAGTACTGAAGTAAAAGTTTGTGTTTATTTGTCTTTGCAGTTGATTTGCTTTAATAAAACACATAAAAATTTTCATATAAAAGTTTAAAATAACACTTTCCTCACAAAAACAGGGGCCTGCCTGCTCCAGAGGTGATTCCTTCATGTGCCTCTCTGGGTGCAGTGGGACCTCCCAGGCACTGGGTTTTCTGCAAATTAAGTGGAAGGAGAGTAAGATTTCCGAAGGCACTCGAGTGCCTTTTGGGTAGCTGGGATGGTTCCAGCCAGGTTGTTGGAGCATCCCAGTGTCCCCCAGGGCTGGCAAAACCAGGGTAAGCCCCTGGCTCCCTGGGGAATACCTTGCTGAAGGCACCAAGCACTTTTTAAAGCCTTACTCCAAGTGCTGTGAGTCTCTAAGGTGCATTTGATGCCTTTACCCAGGATTTCCTGGGGCATCCCAGTGGGAAGCTGCTTTCAGAGGATGCTGGTGCTGCTCGAGCTTTGGCATTTTTGGGGCAGCCTGGAGGGGTGAAGGCTGTGGGGACATTGTGAGAGAGTCCCCAAACTCCCATCCACCTTCCCAGTCTCCCAAACAGCCCCCACCCGCCCCAAAGCAGCACCTGGGATGAACAGCACAGGGGGGAGGCTTTGAGTGTATCCAAGATACAGTGGATTTGGGCACCCTGTGGAATGTTCTCATGGTCTGACCCTTGTCCAGACACCACTAAAAGCCCCTTGGGGAATTCCCCCTCCACCCAGAGCACCAGCTTTAATCACAGAGGAGGAGTGTGAGGCACAGAGCGCTGCTCCTGCTGCTGTGCTCAGCTACCACCCCTGGGGACATTGAGGGACACCAGGGGACATGGGGGGACACCAAAGGGCATGAAGGGACACCAGGGGACATGGGGGGACACCAAAGGGCATGAAGGGACATGGGGGGACACCAGGGGACATGAAGGGACACCAGGGGATACCGGGGGACACTGAGGGAGTCTGCAGGACACCAGGGGACACTGAGGGACACCAGGGGACTCTGAGGGATACTGAGGGACACCAGAGGACACTGGGGAACACTGAGGGACACCAGGGGACACTGAGGGACACTGGGGACACCTTGGGACACTGAGGGACACCGGGGGACACCAGGGGACACTGAGGGACACCGGGGGATACCCAGCCTGCATTCGATGAGTGCAGTGTCCTGTCACTGCACACAGGCAGTGCAGCAGGGCCTGGGCTGGTTCCTCCTGAAACACCCAAGGAAACGGTGTAAGCAAGGGTCAGTAAGCGGAAAAAAAGGTCAACAAGTGTAAATAAGGGTAAATAAGTGTAAATAAGGAGTTTCCAGCCGGCTGGGCGGGCGCAGGTCGGAGATGCGCCACCGCCTTCAGCCACCAGGCAGCGGCAGAGCTCAGGCATCGAGGGACCTCGGGGGACACCGGCTGGCACCGGGGGACACGGGGGGGACACCGAGCCTGCGTTCGGCCACACTGGCGCCCCCTCCCCTGCCGCGGGGACCCCGCAGAGCCCGGGGAAGGCAGCGAGGGGCTGCGCTGCGCGGGGCGGCCGCGGTACCGCGGAGTGAACGGGAGGGGGCAGTTCATTAAAGTTAATAGAAGTTCGTTAAAAACACCTGCTTTACACCCTCCAGCTCTTAAACACGCGGCGTGGGTACCTGTATGCGAAAGCTGAAGGGCGTCCGTGTCACGGGAGAAAAGGTTCTGATGGTCTTGAGCAAATTCATGTCATAGGAAGAGGATCCTTCCTGGTCCCCCCACACGCATCTAAACCAGGAGAAATGTCGGTATTTACTCCTAGTAAAGAGCAATAAGGGGGTATGTGACGTGTCTAGTGCAGAAAATCTGTGTTAGTAAAAGACTGAAGCAACCACACAGAAGTTTGAAGTGTCCAGGGCCAGGTTGGACAGGGCTTGGAGCAACCTGGGCTAGTGGAAAGTGTCCTTGCCTGTGGCAGGGGGTGGAATGGATGATCTTCAAGGTCCCTTCCAACCCAAACCATTCTATAATTCTGTGATTCCTTCAGCTTTTAATGACATAAATACTGATGTTACTTAGTGTTTCCTCTCTCAAACACTCCTTGCTTTTTCCTTTCTCACATACTTCCTCGGAAAAATGTCACTGAAATGAACAATTCAGGTCACATTTTTGGTCCTCAGAGGATTAACCTGCAAAACTAAAAAAATCTACGT